AATACCAGTGTTTTTTGAAAGCCAAGCAAAAAAACACTGTAAATTACAGCATGTTTGGCGGGTTGATCGCAAAAAATGGTGGTATTTACACGGTTTTTGCAATTTCAAGAAAACGTGGAAAGCACGAAACACTGTAAATAGCGGTGTTTTGGCAACTTTTGGACTCCGAAACGCTGGTATTTATGCGGTTTTTTGCCCGTGGCGGCGCCAAACCCATGTAAATTACATCATGTTCTTCCCTTTTTACTCCGATTTTTTACGTTGATGAACGCAAAAAAACGCTGGTATTTACGCGTTTTTCAAAAAATCGAAGATCGTGACGTGAACGAAACCCTGCAAATAACAGTGTTTTAGCCACTTTCGGGGACTAAAACTGTGGTATTTACGCGGGTTCTTACCATCTGACAGCGCAACATGCTGTAAATTACAGCACTTTGTGCGCTGTTTATGTTCAATTTTTTAACCTGCGATGCTTTCACTTGTTCTTTGCATTCTTCCACAAGAAACAATGTTGCAGATTGAAACTGGACGACAGCGTGACCCGAAAGAAAGCTGGATGGAAGAGTCGCACAGAAGCTTTTACACACACAGGGGCTTTTACACAGAGAAGTCCTTACACAAAGGAGCTTTTTACACACAGAAGGTTTTACACAGAGAAGTCTTTACTCTAAGGAGCTTTTGCACACAAACGTCTAGGAGCCTTTACACACAGAAGCTGTTACACAAAGAAGTCTTTACACAGAGGGCTTTTCACACACAGACGCGTTTCCACACAGAAGCTTTTACACAGAGAAGCCTTCACACAAAGGAGCTTTTACACACAAAAACATTTACACACAGCAAGCTTTTACACACACAGGGGCTTTTACACAGAGAAGTCCTTACACAAAGGAGCTTTTTACACACAGAAGGTTTTACACAGAGAAGTCTTTACTCTAAGGAGCTTTTGCACACAAACGTCTAGGAGCCTTTACACACAGAAGCTGTTACACAAAGAAGTCTTTACACAGAGGGCTTTTTACACACAGACGACGTTTGCACATAGAAGCTTTTACACAGAGAAGCCTTTACACAGAGGAGCTTTTACACACAAAAGCATTTGCACACAGCAAGCTTTTACACACACAGGGGCTTTTACACAGAGAAGTCCTTACACAAAGGAGCTTTTTACACACAGAAGGTTTTACACAGAGAAGTCTTTACTCTAAGGAGCTTTTGCACACAAACGTCTAGGAGCCTTTACACACAGAAGCTGTTACACAAAGAAGTCTTTACACAGAGGGCTTTTTACACACAGACGCGTTTGCACACAGAAGCTTTTACACAGAGAAGCCTTCACACAGAGGAGCTTTTACACACAAAAGCATTTACACACAGCAAGCTTTTACACACACAAGGGCTTTTACACAGAGACGTCTTTACACAAAGGAGCTTTTTACACACAGAAGGTTTTACACAGAGAAGTCTTTACTCCAAGGAGCTTTTGCACACAAACGTCTAGGAGCTTTTTCACACAGATTTTTTTACACAAAGAAGGCCTGACAGAGAGAGTTTTTACGCACAGGCGCGTTTGCACACAGAAGCTTTTACACAGAGAAGCCTTTACACAGAGGAACTTTTACACACAAAAGCATTTACACACACACAGAGGGGCTTTTACACAGAGAAGCCTTTACACAAAGGAGCTTTTTGCACACAGAAGGTTTTACAGAGGGAAGTCTTTACTCTAAAGAGCTTTTGCACACAAACGTCTAGGAGCCTTTACACACAGAAGCTATTACACAAAGAAGTCTTCACACAGATATATAGCTTTCACACACAGACGCGTTTACACACAGAAGCTTTTACACAGAGAAGCCTTTACACTTTACACAGAGAGTTTTTACAGACAGTGAAATCTTTACACAGACGTTTCACACAGAGAAGCTTTCACACACAGAAGCTTTTACACAAAGAAGTCTTTGCACAAAGTGGTTTTTACACAGAAACTTTTACACACAAAAGCTTTTACACAGAGAAGTCTTTGCACAGAGGCACCTTTACACGAAGTAACAAGTTGAAATTGGCAGCAGTTCTTCGGGAAAAACCCTTGGCAGGAGCTTTCGGGAACTCACTTGCTCCCCAAAAAAGCCGTCTATTTCCAACAAAGTTCCTATTCCATGAACTTTTTTTCAAAAAACATAAGGAATATATTTCTGAAGCAGGTCCCCATCCAAAGCATTCAAGCCCACACTGCGATGAAATGCAGGGTCGAGAAATCCGGCGGAGCCGACGAGGGGCGTCAGCCCTTAAATAAATATATTCTTAAAAATCGAAAACATTTACAAACATATTTTGAAGCAAATGGGAAACACATTAATTAATTATATATATACATACAAAAGTCTTGTTTTCCGGTGTGATTTTTTGCCTGTTCCAAACCACACTCTCTTCCCATGTGAACTGGGTCCACCAGCCAAACAGACAATTATATACATGCCAGAAAGGAAAAGCGGAACATACCTCAGAAAGAAATATCAGAAGAAAGATGCACCGAACATAACTGAACACGAGCTTGTACATTATGGACCACCATGGCCACTATGGTGGCTTTGACGACAATCCGAGAAGCTCCGGCTCCACCGTCATCGCCCTCGTACACCATTCATCCCTCTTTTCTGAAATAATTTCCCCACTTGAAAAACCTGTAGAACATGCAGAAAACAAGCAACCAAAACATGCTAAACTACTAAACTACAAGTTTCTTTCAGGAACGTCGACTTTTGCACATTCAGCTGCCTTCTCTGCTGCAGAGTTCTCAGAGCCCACAGTTCATCAAGCTGTGCCAAATGAGATCTGTGCAGCCGATTAAGTATGTCATACGGAAACAGTAGAAGCTTCTCCGGCAGAAGGCTGTCACTAGCCACCGCCACCATCCTCATTTGGTCCCGCGAACATTGCGAACTCAGCGCTTCAAGGCCTTCAAGGCCAGTGCATCCAAGGCTGCATTTGTTCATTTTGTTCTCCAAATTCTCATTGCCATGGCCTGAGTCGCCTTGGGAAGGGGCAGCTGTAGGTACTGTAGATTCTTCTAGTTCTTCTCGTTCACTTTCTGAAAGCTTGGCCTGGGACGCTTGGAAAATGGCCCACTGTGACACGTCAGTGTCGAATGTGTCAAGTTCTGGAGCTACAGACGCCTCCGCTTGTGAATATGTTGCGTCTTCTGTCTTGGAAAGTGATGCGTCTATTCTTGGTGGTCTATTGACCTCAATCTGCGACACGAAGTCATTCCGTGCAGCGAGGAGTGGATAAGGAAGTCCACGGGACATGGCATGAGGAGCGAGTAAGCACATACATGCAACATCATGCAACATCATGCAACATCATGCAACATCATGCAGCATCATGCAAGATCATGCAACATCATGCAACATCTATTTCTCCCAAGTTCTCTCGTCTTTATTTGCTGGAACATACTGGAATTGCTTTGACCCAAACTCTTTCTACCATGCTGGGGAACTCTCCTCGGCCTTCCAAATCCATATGAAGCCAAGACAGCTCAGCAGCCAAGCTGACGCAGCACGAACACAAGTGTCAAAATGAGAAAGGCCAAAAATGCGACAAGTATGGACAAGTGATGACAAGTTCAAACCAATGGCTTCAGGCTCGAAACCCTCGTTCACATGCAACCAAAATTGTATGATCAGTGTCTCTTCACATGTTCTGCGTGTCGCTGCAAACGCGGACAACATTGTTTCGCCGCGCTGGCGAGATATCTGAACAAGATAATTTCTATGTTTCATGTCTGTACGGTTGAGCAGCCATCTATCACTGAAACATCAATCAGTAATGGATAATAAATCTGGAAAATGAATGCTCAAAACTCGGACTGCTCAACTGCATCTGGCCGTTTGCTCCTTGCATAGGCCTTCCACCAGCGATGAATGTTGTGACACCACGCATCACCACGCACTGGGTGCAAAGGAGTCATTATTAATTAATACATATTATATACAGTAATAACAGTAATACATGAAATTACCATAGTATGCAAAAGAGGTCACCGTGTACGTCTGTCTGTATACTTTACTACTCATTTGCAGCATCAGTTGTCACAATCTGTACCTTAACCTCTATGATCTCGATCGTCTCTGTTTCTCCAGTGAAAATTTGTCTCTGAACACACTGACACTAGTCTGTCTTGTCTATCCAATCTACAGCTTCTTTTCCAATATCGCTATCCATCTCGATTGAGGCAATCCATCCGCCAATACACAGAAACCTTTACATACCATCAAGTGAAAAACAATCAATTATAATATAACCGTGCATATGTTTTATATACATTTATATCTAAATGATATGATTAACTGATCAAATAACACACGCACACACACACAGATGCGCAAAACTTTTGCCTGAGGTGACCATGGATCTTGCCGTCTCTCAACCATCATGCACAAAGGTCTTGCGATTAGAGAGCTGAACTACAATTTTTACAATTTACATTTAAAGTCAAGCACGAGAACTAAGCTGAACTAACACTCCTCTTGCATATCTACAGAACGTGGGACTGCTGCTTTCTCTTAGTCACTCTCACCACTCTGGCAACTCGCTGTGACGCTTGCAACCTGCGACCCGCCGTTTCTCTCGGAAGTTCACATGGCCCGAACCCTGCTCCCTAGTGATGTGGTCTTTTACATCTTTTAACATCTTTTAACATGTCCCTGTCACAACAGTCAAGGGGAGTGAATAAGCTTGGTGAACAAGAACGATTTCTGACTTCAGGTCTCAAGATTGACATGTCCATGGTGTCCCGACCAAAAAGGCTTGTGAAGCATCATTTGTGAAACCCAAGTGACGTACACAGACACAGAACAGGTCCTAACCATTACCAAAAGGCCGGCATCAAAGAATCAGGAGGGTATAGGATGGTCGTTTTTCACACATCACAGGGGGCCCTGTCCCAAGGCTATCACTAATATCAAAGATATTCAACAATAGAACACCAAGCTGAACTTTCATGCTCTAATACCGGCCTCATGACTCCCTCTGGCTGGGCAATGCTTCGTTCCATCCCCCAACTTCGTCTGTACTTCTTGAACGTCTTGAACACTCAGTTGACTCTTGACGCTTTCCTGGTCACCTTGCATCTCGTCACCTGCAAGGCCAGTGTCATCTATCTTCAATTGCTCCTGTGTCGATGCAGCCGCTGCGCTGTCCAAGCTCAGGGGATCTGCAGAGACTCCCGCTCTGCAGCTGTCCTCTGCTGTGTCAACAATCTCCTCCTGTTCAGACCGTTCTTGTTCTTTTGCATGTGTTTCCTTTTCTTCCTCCTTTTCTTCCTGACCCTCAGCTGGCTCTGCAGCTCTTGAGCTTGAGCTTGCCAACTCCCGCAAAGGAGGGTTGAAGTTCATGCGACCTCTGTCCTACGTGCTAATCCGCAAAAACATGCCATTTTGAATGTGCACATGCATGCTGGGAACATCGCATATATGAGGCATATGCAAGCTGTCTTGCGTTATTTTGTCAATCATAAAGAATAATATACGCTGAAGTACCTCACATCACATCTGCTGTCTTGCAGGAATGTGTTCAGAGTGAGTAACAACTAGGCCTTAAGGTTCTAACTAGATACATCTGTTATTTTCAGAACTTCCTGCGTGCACGACAACATGCAACAACATGCAGCAAGCGACGTTTAGCCACTCTAAATCTATAGAATACTATAGACATGCAAATATGATTAAATATCATGGTTGCGCATGGGTAGCCCAAATGGATGTTGAATCTTGATAGCGAACAAAAATCATCAAACATCTTCTTGCCCCTGGGTCTAAAATCGAACCATATCCACATGGTCTGAAAAGTCCTGGTGCCCGGAAGAGCGTGGTACCAGCTTCCAGTGGATCAGCGGTGCCTTACCATTTTGTTGCATCTTTGGTAGAGCCGTTCTTCATTCAGTATCATACAGATTCGTGGGACGCTAATCTGCGCAAGATTCTGCAATTCAATGGTGGCATGATGTCAGCTCATGTCACCTCGGTATACCTAAGTCCTCTTACTCTTGGTCTTGGGTCATGGATGGTCCCTGTTGTGCATGCCAAAACTCTCCGCTGCGCACTCGATGTGGAGTCAAGCAATGACTAGCTGGCCAGTCAGCTGCTTCGAGCAAAACCTCCACAAACTTAGAAAACTTTCAGAGCACTCAAAGACAAGGGGTGCAGTTTTTTTTAATTGTTGTTTGTTTTTCATCTGTTTCTTTTTCTGGGGCACTTGTACTTTGCTGAATTTTGGAGCTAAACTGTGTCATTTGCACTGTTCATCGATTTTTCCATAGTTTCCATTGAGTTTTCCATGGTTTCAATTGATTTTTCCATGGTTTCGATCGATTTTTCCATGCATCGCATGCACCTGGTGAAGATGTAGAATATAGGTTGAAGCACAACCGTGTTGGGTCTAAATAGTGGCATTGGATGCTATCATAGTGTTGGTTGGTTTAGGGTTTATTTAGGGTTGGTTTATGGTTGGTTTAGGATCATTTAGGGCTGGTTTAGGGTTGGTTTAGGGTTTATTTAGGGTTGGTTTAGGGTTTATTTAGGGTTATTTTAGGGTTATTTTAGGGTTCGTTTAGGGTTTTATTTACGGTTGGTTTAGGGTTTATTTAGGGTTATTTAGGGTTGGTTTAGATTGATTTATTTAGGGTTGGTTGGCTTCGTTTATGGTTTGTTTAGGGTCATTTAGGTTATGTTTAGGTTTGGTTTAGTGTTTATTTGGTGTCTGTTTAGGGTTTGTTTAGGGTTCGTTTAGTGTTTATTGTTTAGGGTCATTTAGGTTCTGTTTAGGTTTGGTTTAGAGTTTAGAGTTTATTTAGGGTTGGTTTAGGGTTTATTTAGGGTTATTTTAGGGTTCGTTTAGGGTTTTATTTACGGTTGGTTTAGGGTTTATTTAGGCTTGGGTTAGGGTTTGTTTAGGGTTGGTTTACGGTTTATGTAAAGTTTGTTTGGGGTTTATTTAGTGTTATTTAGGGGTGGTTTTTAGTGTTTGTTTAGGGTTGGTTTAGGGTTGGTTTGGGGTAAATTTAGGGTTAGTTTAGGTTTATTTCTGGTTGGTTTAGGGTTATTTAGTTTAGGGTTGGTTTATGGTTTATTTAGGGAGGGTTATGTTGGGTTGGTTTATAGTTGTTTTAGGGCAATTTATTGTTATTTAGGGCTATTTATGGTTATTTAGGGTTGGTTTATGTTCGGTTTAAAGTCTGTTGGGGGTTGGATTAAGGCACATGTGGGATACAAGGTGTGTATATAAAGATAGATAAATAATGATAAATAGATAGATAGAAAGATAGAGTGATAGAAAGATAGATTGATAGATTGATAGATTTGATAGGTTAAATAGATTAGATAGATTAGATTTGATAGGTTAGATAGATTAGATTTGATAGATTAGATTTGATAAATTAGATTAGATTGGACTGGACTGGATTGGATTAGGTTAGATAAAATAGATTAGATGAGACTAGATTAGGTTAGATTAAACAGATATGTTAAATACATAGAATAAAAAGATCGATTAAATAATGACCACCCCCTAAAGGGTCCCCGAGAGTGGTCTCCCACCTCGATTAATTAAAACATTAATCCAAGGGTCCCTACTTCTTCAAGGTACCTCTAATAATTTGCTCGGCGGCACTTCCCCCCCACCTAGATGTAATAAATGGTTCTCTCCCCACCACCTAAATTAATTTCAGGTAAAATTATTCAAGAGTGGTGGAACTACCATTTCTTCTTGGGTTCAGGGGACCCCAAAAAAATTCTTCTAATTAATTGGGGTATGGTTAGCTAAATTATTTGAGGCAGGGGTGAAGGTATGTATCTAAAGTTTCAGGAACATGGGGGTTGTTCAAAATTATGGTGCCCGAAAACTGCCCATACGCCGCCCTTGGCCTTGCGCCACTGCAGCAAAACACACATCCATAACGTTTAACTGCAGATGTCACTCGGAAACTGTACTAGTGTCATTACAATCATTGGGTCCTGTACTGCTAGTACACCCACCCCCAAATTAATTTTACGCGTGGCCACGCGAGCTGGGAAAAAGGAAAAACGTTGTTGGCGCACAAAGAAATAGATTGGGTGTGTACTTGTTCGTGGGGTTTTACTGGGTTTTCAATTCTCATTGCGCACAATCAATAAGATTCTGTTCCAAACGCATTTTCTTACTTGTAAATGCCACCCAGTTAGATTTAGTGTCATTACAATCATTGGGTCCTGTACTAGTACACCCACCCCCAAATTGATTTTACGCGTGGCCACGCGAGCTGGGAGGGAGAAAAACAATGGTTGGTGATATGAGAAATAAATTGCACGTTTCTTTGTTCGCAATGGTTTTGAAAAGCTTTTCAAAATCATTTGCAAAACAATCAATAAGATTCTTTTCCAAACACATTTTCTTCCTTGTAAATGCCACCCAGCTAGTTTTAGCGTCATTAATAATCCAAATTTCATTGAGCTGGCATGAGCTGTTTGACGAAACATTCCCAAATTAATTCGAGGTGGCCCCATTCTCATTCTATTAATTTGGGTACCCCCAACTTAAATTAATCCTCGAACAATAGTCTCCTCGAAAAAAACCTCCCAAATCAAAATTAATTGAAAAAAATAATTGGATAAACAACGGTCCACCTGGATTAATTTCGTTAACGGGGTCGTCATATTAAATAGATAGATTAAATAGATAGATTGAATAGATAGATTAAACATACAGATTAAATAGAGAGATTGAATAGACATATTAAACATACAGATTAAATAGAGAGATTGAATAGACAGAGTAAATAGATAGATTCAATAGAGAGATTAAGCAGAGAGATTAATAGATAGGTTAGGTAGATTAGATTAGATTAGATAGATTAGATAGATTAGATAGATTAGATAGATAAGTTAGATAAGGTAGAACAAGATAAAACAAGATAAGATTAGATAAGATAAGATTAGGTTAGATTTGATTAGGGTTAGATTAGATTAGGGTTAGATTAGATTAGATTAGATGAGCAATCTCGAAAACCCTAGGTTCACGGAAAGGACATCCACAAATTTGGGAAGGTCCCATCGCCTACCACACGTTTGTACAATAATGATATATGGTAGACTTGGGGGGTATCGCTTGCAGGAAACTGCTACTGTACATTTTTATATATATATACATATATACACACATATATATATATATAGTTCACAGAAATCAACGTCCAATTTGGGTATCGCTAATGTGGATATTAGAGAAATACAATGACATAACCTTGACAAGGGGTATCGCTAATTTGGGAAGGTCCCATCGCTTACCATGTGTTTTTAACAATTTCCATCCTTTTCCATAAACCAATGTCCGTCCAATACATATTTAGTATTGCAATGGGTTTTTGCAGTGGCTCAGATTAGATTAGATTGGATAGATAGATTGGATAGATAAAGCATGGTAAAGCCACAAAAGCCACACACCCACAAAAGCCACAGAAGCCACAAAAGCCACAAAGCCAGGCTGGAAAACAAAAAAAACAAAAAACATAGCCCTCCAAAGACAAGTTCAATGCACTGCGCAAATTCGTATTGAATGATGTGTAAAGCTTATTTGCTGTCACTCAGACAGGTGAAGAAAGACAATGTCGTACTGCACAAAATTGGATCGTGATAACTTGAAGACTAATGACCAATGAGGAAGACCCTTTCAATTGAATGCATTCCAGGCCTGGAGGACCCCTGCACAAAGACCATCACCTCAGCCAAACCCTATCAGTACAAGTCCTTACTACATCTTACTACCATGTCAATCCATGTCATCAATAACCATAGTTTTCAAACTTGGCAGTGGGACCATGGTCAAAATAAAGTGAACAGTGAGGATAAATACCAAATTAAATGCACCCACTGCAATTAACCCAAAAACTGTATGGGCCCTCGGATGCCTGATGAATGCATGCCGAAGTGCTGCTTTCGCTGTTTGCTGCATCAATATCCTGGCAACGCAACCCCGAATGATTTCTTCTGTAGATTGGGTGGTACGCGCTGGGAGCAGTCTGAGAGGGACTGGCGACGCTGGTTTCCTAGAGACCATTGATTGGGAAAAGATGGGAGTAGATACTGGAGAAACCAATGCGAATTTTAATCAATGTGGGTTTCCAAGTTTCGCTGTGGCTAACTCAAAGCAAGCTAAATCAGGCTGCCGCAAATCTGACACAACCTGCTCTTCTGACTCTGGCTCTTGCTCGCCTAAATGACCTGCGTCAGCTGGCAATCCCCGGCTCAACATCATCTGGGGAATGTTATCTTGCGTTCATCTCGGGATTGAGGTTGACGGCAAGAAATCCTAGAATGACACCATCTATACTGCAGTGCAATGCAATCAGACACAGCGCTACATGAATCGGAAAAAAAAGGCGGGACCAAATTAAAATATAAATGGAACGCTTAGAGTCTCAGAGTCCCAAAACAGTTGTCCCGGTGCGACATGTTGTTCCTGAAGACAAAAGTACCCTTGCGATTGGGAACCAAAAACACAGGAAAAGGATAGAAAGGCAAGCCTGTGTTAAAGTTGTCAACAAAAAGCGCACAGGACTGTAGCAAGAGCTCGGTTTGCATTTCAAAATGTTCAAGAACTGTCATTCTCGGAGCACTTTTGCAAGATGAGGTCGGGAAAATGTGCACCAGACTGTAAAGAGAGCTCGGCTTCAAAAAAACAAAAGAACGTTTAAATAAAAACTGGCACTTTCGGAGAAACCCCGGATTTGCGTGGTCGAGTCCGCGCTATTGACGCGCGAATGTTGGTTGATTTGGCGCGATGCTCCTGCTATGTGGGTTTGCAAAATGCATTGGCACGGCCGCGCGCAGCAAAGCTGCAGTGATGATGCGACGCTCCTGGCAAGCGGGATTGCAGCTGGAGGTTGCTAAATGCATCCATCCTAACAGCCGCGCGAAGGGTAGTTGCCAGGTAATTCTTGCCATAGTGCTGCTCTTGTGCTATGCGGGATTGCAGCTGGATGTTGCCAAACGCATTGTAACAGCTGCGCGAAAAGAAGAAATGGGTTGCAGAAGCTACAGAAGAGCTAGCTGGGAGGCAGCTCAGAGCATGGTCAGAGAAGAAGTAGCCCAGATAAAAGGCTGCTTAATTAAAAAAGAAGTAACTGAGAGCGAAGAGGTCGCTCATTCCCTCAGTGAAGAAGTAACTCAAGAAAAAAACATCCATCCATGCACTCATACATCCGTTCATTCGTTCAATCATTGACTCAGTGATGTATCGGCTCGCTATATAATTCATTCATTTCGTTTCGTTTCGTTTCGTTTCATTGCTGGGTCTTAGCACCGGTTCTACAAGGGTTTCATGGGGTTCCATATAGGGTTCCATGGTGCAACTATGCGCAAGTCCTTGCGGCTCCGCCTGTGCTGCGGCTCAGAGCTGCCTGGCGCACTCCACTGCGCGCTGCACTACGAGGCGGTGAGAAGAGCGGCACCTTTGGCAGCGCCTCACAAAATGATAAAAATGGCAGAAGACACGGAACTTCACAAAGGCTTCGCTGTCCAATATTGTGCCGTGCATACGACAACTAATTCATTCACAATGTTTATCAATATTTCTCAATGCATGAGTCCGGCTCACTGCATTCAGTTCATCTCAATCAAGGCAATCGAGATTGTCAGCAAGGATTTTTAAATTTTAAGTATGTCCAGGTGCTGCAGTGAGTCAGCTGCTGTTGCAAATGCAGTCACACACACACACACATCATGCATTCACCGCAAACTTGTGAAAAATCATGAGCAGTCGTCTTCAGTGACTTGGTAGCAAAGCAGGCCACTGTGCGAAGGCTTGCCTCAACCACCCAACATCCAGCCTCTCCACCGAAGTCGCGCGTGCTTTGTTGCCTGCGCAAGGCAAACCGACAGGGAATAAGCTGCAGGCAACAAAGGCGGCATGCGGCAAGGCCGCGTTGCCGCGTTATGTGAAAGCGAGGAACCAGCCTAGGCCTGTGGTCATTGTAATTGATGGAGTCCACTCATGGCAAGGTCTTACATGGTCTTACGCTACGTAGATAGACCTTGCCGTTAATCATGTTGATCCAATAGGGAGCGCAAAGCCCAAGCTCACCCTAGAGTCAAGCTAACGCAAGCTGGCCAGCTAGGCGCGAGACAGTGGGCATCGTTCATTGTCGCAGATCCTTGCTTTCCCACATTTTCCCACCATATGTCCCACCTCTCAAGCAAAGTCTTGGCCAAATGAGGTGCGCGCAAAGGCTGGGCGAACGGATGAACTGACACTGCAAGCACTACGCGAAGTAGTGAGAGGGCCACAAGAAACAAAAGAGCAGCCAGCTGTCCAGCAAACCTAGGCTTGGCGACGATCGCCATAGTCATCTGACTCTGAGCGATCTACACTTGAGCATCCAGCATACGATAAAGAAAGCAAACCACTGACAAACAACACTACTTGCAGCGCATTGAAGGCTAAAAGAGCCAAGGCACACAATTTCCACATCTGGCAGAGTTGGCAAATCCCACCAGTCCGTTTTCACGAAATTCGCCTCAATACAACGTTCAATACACCTAAATAAATCTAAATAACGTAAATAAATGTAAATAAATGTAAATAAATGAAATAGTAATTTTGTTGCATATTGTTACATTACAATGACACCCTGCACTCAAGAATGCAAATTCTATCAAATTCTGTCTCAGAGCACCTCTGACTTTCGAATGCGTATCTGCACAATCGCCAGCGCCATGCAAGCAATGCCTTCGCAAGTCCAGGCATGACTATCATGACGGCACATGTGCACATTCTATCATATTTTATCATATTCTATCACATTCTTGTGCAAAACAAAGCAATCTAACATAATCTAAATACTTTGCCCATCTTTGCCGCTTTGCTCGTCGACTCATCGACTCACGTTCTTCTGCAGCAGACTAGCTAAGTCCCGCACCACTCAATGTTGATGCAGCATGAGTCAAGAAGAAGCCAAAACGGTCAGACTCAAAGAGATGGCCTACAGTAGTGGAAAGCACTCGAAACTTTGCTCATCGTTCTTTGCAGTGACAGTCATCGTAATCGTAAATCCCTCTTTTCCATGACATCTATAATCTATGCGAAGCCCCTTGTTCAGGGTTGACAGGGTTGATCCTATCTGAATACCTCTGCAAGCAGAAAGGGTCAGGAAAGCGGAGCATTCTTGCAGTGCATTCTTCCTTCAAATAGATCTCAGTTCATGCTCAAGTTGTGTAGTGGTGTTACCATGTCTTACCTCTATACGGTATTCAAATCCTTGCATTTTTAAAGGTGAGGGCCACAGTCTGCTTCGCTGAAGCAGGCTGAAAACTACTCTCTCGGAGAGTCAACAAGTCGCACGGTTGCAAATGCTTGAGTCCAGTGCATTGCTCTCCGACCAGGATCTGTCTGATTTGTGGTGTGGTCACTATACTATCCTTTTCATTGTGGATGAGAGGCCAATTGGTAAACAGGACCAGAATTGTCTGGCACCTACGACGATACTTGTTGACTTGCCACATCCGTCATAGGCCAAGTTGCTGGAGAAAGTGGCCAGGCTGCCCATCATACCTAAATTGAAAGGTCAACTTCGAAGAAAAGTCACCGGCATTTGTCGCTCACATGTTCGAGCAAAAGCTCGAAATACGTTCCAAGCCCAAGTGCCAATAGTTGCACCGACAGGTGATAGCCAACGAAGACCTGGAGACGCCTCGCAAACCAGAAGGGAGAAAACAAACAAGGCCAAGCCGTGTCCTTGCTAGAAACTGCATAGTAGCGTGTGTTAGCTCGAGCTGTTGATGCTTTTGTACAAGCTCCCAAGCCAAAGCCTCATTGTAAACAAACACAGTGCCCCTCTCCCCTACTCACTAGTGTCATTCCCCAATCCCAGTTTGCATACGGAGAATCTATCTAAGAATCTATACTAATCTATACTATACATGCATGCGTCCCAGGCGTATATACACAGACTATCCTCTGATTGCAGTTCACGATGCGCATGACGCGATGAATCTTGTGTATGTGCGTTGAACAGCAATCTGCAAGCCTCTGGGCAAAACGGCCCTGAACCCAGGGCCACAGAGCAAAAGACCCAAGGCAACGTAGCCACGGTGAGGCGGCATCTTTTTATTGGCAAATTGCCTCAAGCGCGGAGTCATGAAATTAAATGTTGTGTCTTGAGTTACGTGTGCCATGTCTTTCCCTACAGCCTACAGCATTTGCGAAAGCAACCAGGTCCTGAACCCATCCAGAAGGCAACTTTGCTAAGTACAGTACGTCATGATTTAATCTACATTGTCAGCCTTATCATTTGGATTCATTTGGTATGGCCGTGTGCAGCCAAGGGCACTCGCGAGGAAACCCAAAAGCACAGCTATACCAAGCAGGGCTGCTGCAGCAGAAGATCCAATCGTCACACTTGCAGCAGCAGCTCCCTCGAGCAGCACGAGGCCTCCACCACCACATCACACCACACAGACACATACGAAAAAGATCGAAACATACACGGCAAAGAATAGACCTGGACCAAGAGCACCAATGTAGAGAATATGACCTCTGTTGGAAAGCCGCGCACGTCATCTACTACCATTTCATTATTTTTTGGTTTATTCCCCACATCTTTGTGTGGGGTTCTTGTTTTTGGTTGTGCACTTCCGCCTGCCCCTGCCGTCCTACATGACACCCGCCCGCCCGACCCACCCACACACAACTTGTTGCTCACACACAACTTGACCACACACAAACTCACACACAACTTACTCACACACACAACTTGTCCACACACAACTTACTCACACACACAACTTACTCACACAAACTTACTCACACACAACTTACTCACACACAATTTGTCCACACACAACTTACTCACACGCAACTTACTCACGCAAACTTACCCACACACACACACAGCTTGTCCACACACAACTTACTCTCACACACAACTTACTCACACACACACAACTTGTCCACACACAACTTGTCACCACACAGCTTGCTCACACACAACATGTTCACAACACAACTTGCTCACACACAACTTGACCACACACAAACTCACACACACACACAACTTACTCACACACAACTTGTCCACACACAACTTACTCACACACACAACTTACTCACACAAACTTACTCACACACTTGGCGACATCGACCGTCACTTTGCGTGGCGGGCGTGGCACTTGGTGACATCGATGGTCACTTTGCGTGGCAAGCGTGGCACTTGGTGACATGGACGTGCATTCTGCGTGGCAGGCGTGGCACTTGGCAACATGGACGTGCATTCTGCGTGGCAGGCGTGCCACTTGGTCACATCCACCTTCGTTTTGCGTGGCAGCCGTCGCACTTATGGCACTGGGCCGGCTCTGGTGGCGCGCCTGCAGGTTCCCAGTTGACGCCGTGGACGCCGCGGCTCTATGCGTGGCAGGCGTGGCACTTGGCGACATCGACCGTCACTTTGCGTGGCAAGCGTGCTCTGGTGGCGCGCTTGGTTCCCAGTTGACGCCGTGGACGCCGCTGCTCTTTGCATGGCAGGCCTGGCACTTATCATACTGGGCTGGCTCCGGTATTGCGCTTGGGTTGGGTTTGGCGCAGTGGTCGCCGCCGCCATTTGCGTGGCAGGCGTGGCACTTCGCGACATCGACCTTCACTTTGCGTGGCAGGCGTGGCACTTGGCGACATGGACGTGCATTCTGCGTGGCAGGCGTGGCACTTATGGCACTGGGCTGGCTGGGTTTGGCGCCGTGGTCGCCGCTGCCGTTTGCATGGCAGGCGTGGCACTTCGCGACATCGACCTTCACTTTGCATGGCAGGCGTGGCACTTATCGTACTGGGCTGGCTCCTGTGGCGCGCTTGGGTTGGGTTTCGCGCCGTGGTCGCCGCCGCCGTTTGCGTGGCAGGCGTGGCACTTATGGCACTGGGCTGGCTCTCACACCATCCTTGACACACCACTTTGTCACACACCATCTTTCACACACAGCTTTGTCACACACCATCTTTGACACACCACTTTGTCACACACCATCTTTCACACACCATCTTTGTCACACCACTTTGTCACACACCATCTTTCACACATCATCTTTCACACACAACTTTGTCACACCCCATCTTTCACACACCGTCACAGACCATCTGTTACACACCATCTTTCACACACACACACAACTTTGTCACACACCATCTTTCACACACAACTTTGTCACACCCTCTTTTTCACACACAACTTTCACACACACTACCTTTCACACACAACTTTGTCACACCCTCTCTTTCACACACAACTTTCACACACACTACCTTTCACACACAACTTTGTCACACACCATCTTTGACACACCATCTTTGACACACGATCTTTCACACACCACTTTGTCACACACCATCTTTGACACACCATCTTTCACACACATCATCTTTCACACACAACTTTGTCACACACCATCTTTCACACACCACTTTGTCACACACCACTTTGTCACACACCACTTTGTCACACACCATCTTTCACACCACTTTTTCACACACCATCTTTCACACACCTCTTCGTCACACACCATCTTTGACACACCATCTTTCACACCACTTTGTCACACACCATCTTTCACACACCGTCACAGACCATCTTTCACACCCCATCTTTCACACACCACTTTGTCACACACAATCTTTGACACACCATCTTTCACACACAACTTTGTCACACACCATCTTTCACACACCGTCACAGACCATCTTTCACACACCATCTTTCACACACACACCATCTTTCACACACACACACACACAACTTTGTCACACACCGTTTTTCCTCCGCCTCCTCCTTTGTCTTTCCTTCCTTCCCCGTCCCCGCTGCAACATTTGTTGCTCATTATTGGAAGAAGTTGACTTGTGGGGTTATCCGGTCCATTAATTTATTTTTTTTTGAGTGGATGTGCAGCACGGCTCGAGAAATCGAAGCAGCCACTCGGCCACTCGGCCACTCAGAGTGGCTGAGTGGCTGAGTGGCTGGTCCAGCCACTTCTCCATACAGCTAATCCGCCACTAGTGAAAGGAAATTTGTCATCGGCCACTCAGCCACTCAGCCAGAGAGTGGCTGCCGCAGCCATTCAGCCACTCTACGTAACTTAAGTCCCGTAAAGTTTTTCACTACACACATTGTCTGTGGCATGACGTCGCGGCGTCTGAATTTGTTTTGGCGGCATCTGAATTTATATTCTTTGCTGGCTCCGTTTCGCGATGATGTTAGTTATTTGTATGTAGTGTTTCAACACGCTATGGGCCAAACCACATTCGAATTCTACCATTTTCTTTTCCACAGTTTAGACAAAGAAATATATACATACGTATACACATTGAACACAAAATCATCATGATTGATCTTTCGGTCAATGTGAACGCCACTGCTTTTGCTTTCATCCTTATTTGCTAGTAGTTTTCTGGCAAAGTATTGAATCGAATGTCTGCCGTCGGATGGACGAAAGTCCCTCAGAAAGAGAGGGAGGGATGGAAACGAAAATACTTTCGATTTTTTCCTGATTCTTCAAAGTTGGATGCATCCCGTTTTTTTTGAAAATAAACTCAGCAGTTACCAGCTGAAGGGGTGTGCCCGGTAATGAAACTAACCACTAACAGTTTGCATCAATTTGCAACATAGACCCTCACCATTTTGTACACAAATCGTCGAACTAGATGGGCCATGCAATAGCAGTCCATAGCACACAATGGAATGACCATAATTTGCCAAAGGGATAGAAAAGGTCTTAAAAAATATATATATAATATTATATAACATTATATAACTATATAAATATAATCTATTTCATAACATACATATATGAAAACATTGGAACTATAACCAGATGTATCATTCCTTTCGCCATGATGATCCGCAGAGACCCACAGAGCGAACCCCTGACCTGAGGCGATCACCACTGCTGATCAAAAAGAAAAACAACGGCAGCAAGTGACTAACAGAAAATTGCTTTCGTAGGTTATCTGTGGTCTCAAACACATCGACGTATCCAAAATATTCGAAAATTAATCTAGCACCATCGACCACAGAGTGCTCTGACTAAGATTGAGCATTGGAGTAGCCCGGTCCAAGATTAATTGTCTTGATGGTGGTGTGCTGCTTCTCCAACTCTTAACAACGAAGGATGCCACGTTCCCTTATATAATGTTCGTAAAGATTTAGGTGCATATAATATTTTTTATCAACGCAACTTCATGCCAATAAATAATCGCATGTTGGTTCGACCATGTTTGTCCCTTTGATGCCGGTATCAATATATCATGTTGGCAGGCCTGTCAAGAATGACTAATGACTTCTCTCTCACAACCCTTTAACACAGATGTTTGCCTGAGAATGCATTCAACCCATAAGAATATATGCCCCAGTGCCTGCATAGATAAAAGAAATTAAAAGAAGGGACCCTAAACTAACATAAAACCTCACTTGAGATACAATCAAACAAAACGCATACTTTCAAAGACATTACACACATTGACTCAGACCCAAGAAAAATTAGGTCTGGGTAATGCTGCTTACACTCCACTGGATTAGCTGCACTAGCTATTCATCCACTGAGACACTCTGCCAGAGTGGCTGCCGCAGCCGCTCTGCCAGAGTGGCTGAGTGGCTGGGCTGTAAATTTCCGCCATTGCGCGCTCAATCTTTTTTTAAAACTTATCTACTTAATCATTATGTTTTCTGATTTATCGCACGAAGATTGCGACTGGCTGCTGCGTGCTGCCGAGCTTAGTGGCACCGCTTTTGCAGCTACGATACCTTTTTGCAGGATTATCAGCCCTATCGCGGCTTGTAGCCATGCCATCATATGATCATATGCATGTCAGCGTGAGTATCTGTGCACTCTAACTCTGGTGTCAGAATGGAAAACAACAGATCATCATAAGTGCCCGTGTGAAGTTAAGAGAACAATGAACTATGTATTGACTGTTGCATCTCCAGTTTCAGAAAATTTCAGATTGGCCAATTTGACTTTTAATTGATTCCGTTTAGAAAACAATTTAAACATCAAGCTACCATTCGTGGGTTTTCCTCTCTAATAATAAAACTAGTAAACCCCGGGGTGTTTATTATTAGGGTCCGTCCGATTTTTTTTTTTTTTTTATTAGGGTTTTTAATTTAGTATTAGGGGGAAGCTTCGAAATCCAGTTTTTGGCAATATTTTAATTGCGTTATATAAAGAAATTTAATTGATTTTGAAATCGGAAAAAGTAGTTTTTATTATTAAGGGTTTTAATTTAATATTAGGGGGAAGCTTCGAAATCCAATTTTTGGCAATATTTCAATTGCGTTATATAAAGAAATTTAATTGATTTTGAGATCCGAAAACTAGTTTTTAATTATTAAGGGTTTTAATTTAATATTAGGGGGAAGCTTCGAAATCCAATTTTTTGGCAA